TTCGGAGGACGGCAGCGATGGGCCCGAGGGGCGGGAGGAGGAGGGCGCCGGAAGGCGCGAGCCGGTCGTCGGGGATGAGCGCAACGGTGCCAACAGCGGGGAGGGCATGGAGGGCGCTGGATACAGCGATGAAGACGACGACAGTAAGTTTGATTGGCACTTCATAGACTACAGTTAATTCATTGTCCTTTTTGTTCATCTTTTCTTGTGCTGTTTGGGATATTGCTGATATTCTGTTTCCGCGTCACGTCTACGAACAAATGGTGTGTTCACTTCAGTTGAGTAACGGCGATGACACCCGTACGTTCCTTCTCGTGTTTCACGGTACCCTTCGTCGCAGACATGTCTCAATCCCAAACCGACGAGCTAGCTCTTTTGGACGAGGACGACAGCATGGACCCAGACGACCCGGAGGACGAGACGCAGGGAATGGAGATCCCGGTGGGCTTTTGCCTTCAAGAATCTACCCCCGCTGCTCTTGACAGATTGCTTTTGCAACGTGGAGTGCTTGTTCGGCTGGGCATGGGGTGATTCGGTGGGTTGATCATTCAGCAATCTCCGCAGCGCCACCTGTACGACTACTGTGTGCAGCTGGAAGTAGACCACAGTACGCGCAATATGAAGCTGCCCTTAGACAAGTACAGCGGAGATCCGGACGCGGCGGTAGGCTCATGGGTTTTGCTTGAGAGCGTCAGTAGGGCGGGAAGGGTACGCACCCCCAATGTCACTCTTGTGGACCAAGACGGTTGACAGTTGCCCCATGGGGGGGTGTTTGCGGGTATAAAACTCTGCGTCGAGTGCAGTTGAGTAGTGCACCAATTGAGCAATCGATGATGAAACAAGAACAAGAACACCGTTTCTGGAGACAAATGGACGATGAAATAAGAACCTGGCAAAAAAGAACTTGTGCTCGGCTTGGGGCAGCCATTAAGAAGCGAGCCTCGCTCCAAATAAGAGGTTCTTAAGTGCGGGCCGGTTCTGTACGACATCTTGATGAGAAGATACAGATTGCACTCGCACCTAAGAATTTAGCAGTCAGTCAAGAAATGCGACCTCGAAAAAAATTAAAATCATACAAATTGACCAGAAAAACACGTGCTCAGACCCGACGTGGTGTGAAGAACAAGAATCCGCCTTCTTTGTGGTGTAACAATGTGCTTACCGATAAGAACAGAGCCCCAAAACGCTGCAGCTGCAAGAAGAGAAGATAAGAACTCACGAAGGGGTGAGGGGCTACTCGCGGGGTGACCGGTGGGCAGTTGCAGATCAGCGGCGAGGAGGGGGTCCCTTTGAAATAGTACTGGTGCGGAGGGGAGAGGGGCGTGCACGGTGTAGTCAACTTAATAAAATCGACCTTACAAATGCCGCCGCACTTTTTTTGTAGTCGTTGGGTTTTTTTGTTTTTGCCGCGAATGTCAAAATCTGGGCGCAACGGCGGGTAGTTTTCGCGGCAAGGCGTGGAAATTTTTGGGTTTGGGCAACCTCGCCTGCAACCTCGTACGGATACAGATGTCCCTTCACTAGGTTTGGGGCGGCGTTTCCGAACCTTGCCTGACCTTGGACGGTTGAGAACGGTGCGCCGGAGGGGGTTGCGCAGGTTGCACAACGTCTAGGGGTTACAGGTCGCTTTAACCCCCCCAACGGTGCCCACTGGCCGAATGGCCACGTGTGAAGGGATCGCTGTACCCTTGTCGCAATAAAAATATCTCAGGCAGAAACCGTAGGAGGGGGTCCAACCTCCCCCTCCTATGTGACTCCGGTTGGGTCGTCTAGCTTGTAGAAGTGGAGGATGGGGGCCAGAGGGGCAGTCCAATGATGGGAGAAAAAAGATACATGAATCGATTCGATACCCCTTGTCTCATGGCTTGTGTCGCCTTGGTGCCGCCACACATGTGTTGCTGTGCTTCTTCTTGTAGATGAATGCTGCTCGTTGTTTCTGGATGTATTTTGTGAATTAAACAGAAAATTGTTTATGCTGTTGAGGATTGATTGATGATGTGACGTCGTGCGCCAAAGGGACCGAACATCTCACGCGGCCGCGCACGCGGTGTGCTGCGGTATTTCCACCTCGATTATTATTGTTACCCCAACGAAGAACACCACCGTGCTAGCCTTTCATCAATGCGGAGAAGTGGCGCCAGTGACCACGTTTCCAGGAGAAGCATGATGACCATGTATCTACTGCTGTAGTCTAGACACCATACATACACGAAAGTCTACATATCCGTTTCGCTCTCTTCTGAATCATCTCCGGTCAGAATTGTCGGTCTCACGAAATGAACGGGTGCTGTGCGTGCTCGCAGCGCATCCGAAGAGCACAAGGAGCTTCGGGCAACTCGGCTTGTTCTGCTGTACGATTGGTGGGCCGTATGCTGCAGCTTTGGGGGCTAGCGATTCAACGCGGCGACGCTCTCATCGGCGACAGGGCAACGGAAGGGTCCTGAATGATTCAATCGATCCGAAGGTATTTTATTCATTCTTTCAGGTCCCACTCACACGGCTGTGTCTGGGCGCGGTCATGTTGCCCTGAACCAGAGCACGACGGGGAGACTGGTACGCGTCGATGGGTGGCTTCCAGCTGGCATCGGTGGCGTCCTGTGGGGCTTGACACAATGTTCCCACACCGTGCGATACGGTGATGATAATGACGCACCACCACCTCGTCGATGTTCCACATGACGACGACGGCTACGGCTACGATGCTTGCTTGCACCACAGCACTCGAGGGTCCCATTACTGCCACGCGCGTGACAATCGGGCCAGCCTTTCCAGTGTGTGAAGTGATGTGGAAGTTAACGGAATCGATAGACTAAGTCGTGCTGTCGTCGTCGGTGAGCCGCACAGCGTTTGGGGGAGGTCTCAACCAAAGAAACGGTAGACGAGGAATGTCCTTTCTTCGCCTTCGTCCGTGGAGGAAATCGACTTCGGGTGCGGCTTCAATCAACCAGTCAAGGGGGCAAGGTGGTTCGGCCGCCGTCGTTTCAACTGTACCAGCATGGCCTGGCGTGAAGTTGCTTCGCCGATGATGGTAAAGAAGATCTCGTCTGCGTTCGACGCCTGCGGGGTCATGATGTGAGTCCAGCTCGAGCGCTACGACAAAACATTACTGTCGTTGGACGAAACACAGGCGCTCGTGGAGTCCTGGTACCAGCAATAGTGGGCGTAGAGACAAGGTTCTTAAGTGGTGTTAGTGGGGCAAGAATGTCGGCTGGGTGGGGTCGTTCGTGCCATCCGTCCATTCGTCTTGGCAATTGTCCCCCCGCCTCCCCAACGCAGAAACCACGCGTAATGCGCTGCTAGTGTGAGCAACAACATCCTAGTTATGCGCAGCCGACCGTGTTCAGAAACGAGGGCGGTGCAGAACGCCTCTTGTTTTGAGGGGCATGGCTAAGATTCGGAGACCTCTTCCGGGGAATGCGCAAGATGCGCAAGCAGGACCAGAACAAATCACACGATACGAAGGCAAAGTTGGCCGTTGAGCAGATGACTCCCTCGCCCAGACATCACGGACGCGCTACCTCACCAAGACGGAAAAGAGGAAATCAAACACATGCATGGAAAAGGACGACTTGAGTCATAATCGCCCACAGCACCTCCATGATTTCTTCGTATAATCTTGCAAGCCGTCCCATCTAGATCTATCCCCATCCCCACAAATATGATCCAATCCCATCCTTAAACGAAAACTACGACGGGGAGCAAATGTTATCCACTCCATCCTTCCTTCATGAGGTCTAGCGTAGCGAAGACTATTCGCATGCTTTGCGAGAGAACGGCGGCCTCCATCGGAGTTCGTGGCTCCGCTCCTCTTCTCATCACCTCCTCAAGCTGCGAAAGGAACGAGAGAAATATTGTAAAGAAACGGTTGAGCATCAGCCGGAGCAAATACATGCTTTTGTCAACAAAAGACATGCAGGCAGGCCTTGTAGCAGCACAAGTAACGGCCGCTTGTGGGGGGTAGCGTGTGTATGTGCGGGGCAGGACCATGCGTCATTGCAGCACTGAAGGTGATAACGCTCTGTGTGAAACCCGCTTGCTGCCTTGGGTGATTTGTGAAGAGCAATGGCCGGCAACAACCAAAAGCCAACACCCCAAAGGGGTTCGGCTGGGCATTGAATGTGCCACGTTCTTAGTAGCTTACGCCGGCTTGAAACCATGGCATAGATGGACTCTGTGAGGGAGGTGTAGCTTTGCCTGGGCACGATTCTGATGCCGATCGGCAACTCGTAAATGGGTCAACGTGTACGTGTCCAAAGTGGATACAAGCAGTGAAGCCATCCAGCATTTGCCCACCTTCAGCGTCTGGAGGGTGTGTCCCGAGGCAGCGCCGTTCATCACCTTCTTGACAAATTCCGCAAACCGGTCCTGCGCGGTGCCGATCGATACATGAAACGACAAGGGGCCGTGAGGCCAAACATCGTGTAAACGAGTGTGTACGCTTGCCGTGTACCGTCTGCGCCAAGAGGCAGCAGTTGAGACGAAGAAAAAATATCGCCCCGGATACACACTGGAAACTCCCTTCTAGGCTGCGTCCAACACGTAGCAACACTATCATCGAGACCTCGTTCGGCACCTCGTGTTGTCTCTTATCACGTAAACACAGAATCGTTGGTCCTCTGGAAACAGATATCGCCCGTTGCTCATTCTATGGTCGGGAGGGGTTCTCCGGTGAGGAGTTCATTAAAAAGAGCATTCAAGGCCGACCGCTGATTTGTACCTGCCGAACGAACGGACAACAACGTTCGCGAAAGAGATCCGTTTTACTGCTCCTGGGATGACAAAAAGGCACACCTCACATGCGGGGGACCACGTGTTGTGCCCGAAACAAAGGCTCCCTGCTGTATTCGTAACACACCCGCCGCAGCAGGCCCTCTTCAGTCAAACGAAATGCTCACCATGAAAGGCGCTGAGATCTCATGTGCTCGTTGAACCTTCTGCGGCCAATTGGCATTCTCGAGCGTGAGGTAGACGAGAGCGATCCAGACCGATCGAAGCTCGACTTCATCCGGGTGAAGATCGCGCCCCGCCGTCTGTAGAACAAGAACAACAAACAAGGTGGTTCACATCACACCGAACCGGCTTGTGTGCCGATAAATCCCTCCCACATTTCTGGCTCATGCGAAACACACGGGAAGTTGGGGGTGGTATCAACAGAGTGAGGACAACGAGTGGCTGCGACTGTCCCTGGAACTCTATACTGGCGGCCATCTCGCCTATTCGCGTCATCCTAAAGGTTCAACAACGGAAATCGGATATCCGCAGGCAGTGCCATGCGCGATGTCGCTTGAGTAGGAAAAAAAAAAACATGAGGTCTTGTCAACAACCCAATTCCTTGCCGGTGCTGCTGTCGACTCTTCGTCTCTCCGCCGACCTCGGGCTACGCCACAAAAGTCCAAGTACTCGAACAAGGACACCAACGAAAATAAAAGCGGACAACTCAGGAGCACAGATTAGACTCCACAGAGAGGACGTCAAACCCCCAGAGCCTTAAATCAAACCAAGCAGACATGGAAAGAGCGTACCCTGGAGCATGGCCAACCAGCGGCGAATTTCGCGTAGTCGCGATAAATCAATTGAAGTTGGTGATACCATCGACAAATTGGAGGAACGGGTGGACAGCACAAAAACGAAACGAAACACTCGAGCGGGGGTAAGACGGGGACGAAAACGAGCAGCAGTTTCAAGCCAGGACGACCTTTGTAGGGACGAAAGAGACCTCCATTGTCAACGCCGGGACCGTGTACCCCCTCTCGTACGCCTCCTTGATCGTCGAAATGAAGGCTTTGAGGCCCATCTCGTAGCTGTTCCCCGCTGCCGCCAGCACGAAGGTGGACTCCACCAGGCTTGCCAAGGATTGCTGCTCTGCTTCCTCTTCCCCTTTTGCCCCGTCCGCTTGTCGTCGAACGGCCATGACAGGTAAACGCAACAAACCGGTATGTCCAGATGGAAATTGACGGTGGCATGTTGACATCAACACGGGGCGGGATCACAATGATTTGGCTACTGCCACCCGATGCACGCATTCGGCTCCGAAAATCCGGCGCAAGAACCTCAAAATACACCATTGCTGGCTGCTGGATGGTTCGCCTTTGAAGAGAATCCCTCAACAAACCACGTGCAACAAACACAAGGAGTCGGATAGTACAAGGCGATTCTCTTAGCCAAGGCAGCAACAGCTAACGAAAACAACACAGCAAACATACCTCCGTCGCCCGATAGACCACCCGCACCGTCCCCAACGCTGCTGCTGCTTCCGCCGCTACTGCCATCGTCTGCGCCATCGCTCGGTGAACTCGTGCCCCCGAGCGCTCGGGGGATAGTCCTCCAACGTGCTCCACCCGAGGTTCTGCTGCGGGTTGGTGGTTGTGACGTCGGCCAACTTAAACACATGGAATGTCAAAGAAGGTGTGTCGGAAGTGCCCCTCGTCGCTAGTGGGATGGTGTTGACTACACGGAGGAGACGAGCCCGTGGTACCGCTGCTGTAGAGCACGCTGCCGTAAGTGTTGAGTACAGACACTTGGGTTCGCAGCAACAACTCCTACATTTGGAACTTTTTATCTTGCGGATCATAACAAATCCATCTCTGCCACACATGAGAGTCTGTGAGTGATAGACTAGCAATGAATATAAGTGTTGTGACCAGCTTACATTTCAACGGTTTCCCAAGCAGCATACAGCGATCTCCCCTGTGAGTAGTAACAGGCTCGGCAAGACAGAGTTACAGCAGTATGGAGGCAGGTGGTGCATGGTACAGCTGCACATACAGAGTGGCCTGCGATGTTATGTGCAACTCTCGTCGAAACACATTTGACACTTAGAGCAGTACAATGCTGCCGATTGCTCGGAGATGGTCGTAAGGACACTGTTGCATACACTTACACGCTAGTGGGCATGGGGGTCTGGAGGCCCATATACAAGAGCTCGATGACTGTATCTACAGCAGCGTCCGAGAAGCTGGGTTGGGTGCGGGTGCGGGTGCCGTTTGGAGGACACATGTTTCCAAATCAGGTACATCCACAACCTTCACCGTCCTTGCAGTTTTGAGGAACCAATGGTGTATGTACGACACACGCTCAATACAAAGAACCAAGGAGTAGAAGTATCGAGGCGCCCTCACCTATCACAGATGCTGCCGCTGCTGGAGGGACTTGCAAGTCCATGATGATGACACATGCGCCGCCGATCGTGTGTCGTCGTCGGCTTACCTCGCCTCATCGCTAGTCCAGGTCCTAAAACAAACCCCAACGCACCCCCATCTCGCGATGGGGAGAGAGTCACGATGGAGGCGGACAAGAGGAACGTGACGCACTTCATTAGATTTCTTCTCTCAGCAGCATAAGCTAGTACAGAGCAGGGTTGTAGCAGGTTGCAGCGTTTCAGCGTAGCCGATCTGGCGGGGCTCGTAAATACACAAGCGCTGGCGAGATAAAAAGGTTCTCCAGCTGGAAAACGCCTCCAAGAACCACACTCGGGCACCGGGCACAGGGGCATCGCGAAGGATATATATATATATATACTGAGACGTACAGGGCAGTGTTCCTGCATATATGTAGTAGAATGCGTGTGCACAGAAGTAGTTGGTGTGGAATACTATCCGTGGCCCCCTGGCGCGGCACTGCAGTGACACCGAACACGCAGCACTCTAGGTAACCACTTTGCACGAGCTTGTGTTACCTAGGAGCTCATCGAGCACGATGCGTCGGCTTTCGAGGAGCACGGTAGTGCTGGTTCTGGCTGCGTATTCTGCCCCTGGATGTTTCGCGGAGCAGCTGCCATCTCTGACGGTAAGCACGTATCATTTCATTCGTCCACATTCCTTGTATGCGTCCCAAAATTGCAACCTTTAGTGTAATCCCACCGTCCGCGGTGCTATTGGTTGGTGGGAAAGACGCAGTCTCCCCAAGCAAAGTGAGAGGGTGCCATTAAACGCTCTCTGAAGTTGCAACAGCAGTTTAGACTCGACACCGTTGGCAGCAGTAGCTGTCAATCTTACACAACAACAATTGTGCCGTATATGACACAAGATAACACACCCCCTGGACCGATTTTCAAGCTCGATTACCCCACGACGAAGAGGATGCATAAACGAAACGATACATTTTCGAAAAGCGCTCGACGAGACGGTTTCAACGCCGCCGTTGTCGGCGCTGTGACTGTTCCTCCAGTTGAGAAATCGAGCTTCGAAAATTGGTCAAGTGGATGTGTTATCTTGTGTGTGTACGGTATGCATCCGCGCCTCTTGATGGGGCTTTCTGTTATGTGACCCATGTTCGAAGGAATGCCGTGTTTGTGAGTACACCGCTAAACCTCTCAGCCGTCACAAAGAACAACTCGGTTGCGCTAAGAAGCATCAGTAGACCACTAGGTTACGAAATCTGATTTACCGACACCAAAATACCTTATCGGCATGTGTTCCAACATGAGTCAACTACTGTAAGCCGCCGGTGCCCATCGAACGTTGCCGTCTCCCTGTCCGACACGATACTTGCTTACCCTGTGGCAAATTAGGTTACGCACACCAACCAGACACTTGCCCACGGATCAAATGACGGGTTGTGCTTGGGTTAAGTCGCCCTCCCACGGCCTTCTCACCCGCAACATGTAGCAGTCCGTTTACAAATACTTTGTCGGATGGAGCGGATGGAACCAAACTGCCTTTGGCTGACTTAGCCTGTCATCCGCCAACCCCAGGGTGGACATGATGTCACTACAACAGCAGAGTTGCGATCCGTCGCTAATCTGTCCTGGTGGGCTCTTATGTAGATCTATGGGTAGAGGTGGTTTCGTTTTGGTTCCGGAAAAAAATCAACAAACAATTTGCACAAAATGGACGAGACGACTGGAAACTCACGCGAGGCAGCAACCAGTGCACACGTTGAGCTGTGCTGCTGCCCGACGGGACTGGTCTGCGCAGCCAATGAGGGGCAGTCGAATAGCTTTCCTCGCCGACTGAATCCAAGGACCCAGGTTTGATCGTGTTCGTTGCTTTTTGTGGGATCTGAAGGATCATGCAATGTAGTTGGGGCTCGTGGTGGCGAATACAGCAATCGAGAGCGTTTTTCGATGCACATCTGTGGGACGGTAAATGGGAGAGACACTGAGCTGAACCGCACTAAATGAACGATCTGCGGTTGCTTCGACACGTGTCCGTGCGCACGGAACGCTACTTCCACATCGCTGCTGTGGCCAATCCATCCGTCGCTGCCACCGCATCACCACCAGGAGACCTTCAAGGCCGTCATCTTATCACACCAGCGACCGCCATCTTCTCCCGGGCCTCCTGCCACCGGCGCAGCGGCGGTGCCGGCGACGGCAGCGCACCCCCTCGCCCCGGTCGGTGCCGCGGCCTACCCCGCGGGCATAGAGCTAGCGGCGGAGGCACTCGCTGACGACCTCGTGCAGTCCTTGTCCGAGCTCTTCGTGCGCGAAAGGGCGGCGACGGCGAGGGAGCTATCTCCAGCCGCGGCGGAGTGGACTCTGGCGAAGCTGACGGACGTCTCTCTCGAGCCTTGGCACAAGGAGGTGAAGCGGCGGGACCCGGAAGGGCTGAGGCTTAGGGGAACAGCGGGAGTAGCGCTCGAGGGTTCCGAGGCGGTCGGCGGGGCGAGCGGGAACGCCTCTCCCCCGGCGGAAGCGGAAACCCGTGGATTGTTTGAGGAGGAGGGGGGATGCCTCGGGCTGGCGGGGAGCGCGGGGGCGCTGGAGTTCGGGGAGGAAGACTTCCTCCAGATTGAGAGCACGTGGGTGAACATTGCCATGACCAGCGTCTGCGTGGTGTGCGCCGGGCTCGCCGCTGGGCTGACGATGGGCCTGCTGTCCATCGAGCCGCTCGAGATGGCCATCAAGCAGCGCAGCGGTAAGGGACGAAGGGATGAGCGCCTGGCCGGTTGTTTGGGTTCGTTTTGGTGGCACCCTTCAGAGGACGAGCGCTTGACCAAATTGACTGCGTTCGTTTTCATGGCACCTTCGGTGTGCCCGACTCGGGGCCGTAGATGGGCAATTGTCGGTGGTCTGGTAGGTGTTTTGACGAGTTCCCGTTGCTTTGTTTAACGAATGTTCGCTGAGACGAGTATGGTAGGGGGCTCTCCGTAGTGGTGGTACACGTGCCCGCCGAAGGGAACCGGCCCTATTCATCAAAATATCAACGAGCATGATCTTCGTATTTGTGCAAGCCTATTTTTACCGGAACTTCGGCATATAGAGAGCACCCCCTACCGTGTCGAGTGCGACGAGGGCTTTGGGGGGAGGGCGGGGCGTGACCCGGCCAAGACAATCCCGTAAGGAACGTTCTATTTGGCGCGCAAACAGTCGCAACAGAGCCGTTCCCTTGACTGCTGCGACTGCTGTTGAGCCGGATAGGCACTGTCTAGCAGCTCAACCCGGGCGATGCAGCAGCAGAGCTGTTGAGGTCGTGCCTCGTCGAGTGCTCTCCGCCGGGCGTTTTCGCTGCGCCCATACCTTTGCTGCACCGTCTTTACTCACCACGTACGCACACCTACACGCACACGATTCTTTTGCTCTCTCTGTTCCTCTGTACGGCTGTGGGTGCCCTACGCCTTTCGATTTCCGTGACCCCTCTCCGCCCCCCGGTTCTGAAAAAATCAGGCACCCCGGAGGAGCAGCATCAGGCATCGCGCATCCTACCCCTCGTCAGCCGGCACCACTTCTTGCTGGTGACGCTGCTGCTGTTCAACAGCCTGGCCAATGAGGTGCGTTCGAGTGGGCGGGGCGGGTGGACCGTGAGGCGAGACTTGGGCGTGAAGTCGGCAGACATGGATCGTCGACGTCTCTTGGTTGTTTTTTTCTTTCGGCGTGCTTTGCAAGCGTTGGGTCGAGACTATCATTGCAGGCCTGGTAAGATGCGGCCTTCCCTGACCATGGAGACTTCCATCCAGCACGGTTCATGGCCAGACTAGGCTGGGCTGCGCGTTCTTCCGCCCCTCGAGACGTTACCTTTCAGTTGTTTGTTGGGCCCTCTCTACCTGACCTGATCGGAAGTCGCGATATTTCAAAGCCCCTGCTTTTCCTACTCATTGTGCCCCTCCTCACCATCACGGTGTGTCGTAACTTGTCAGCGCTTCAAGCACCGGCTGTCCGCGGCCAAGCTGGAATACGTTGTGCGGGTGCTGGTGCTCGTAATCATGCCGTTGTTGTTTGTAGTTTGGCTACGAGTGTGCTTTGACTATCGGAGACTTGGTTGAACCGGACGGAAAACCGTTGCCCGGATGTTAGAGCACAAGGCTAATCCATTAGACTACAGGGCCGAGTAGTCTAGTCTAGTGGATTCGCGTTGATCTAACCCCGGAGACAACGAGACCTCAGTGTGCGCCCGTGCGACCTCCCCCAACGTGCCTCACCATCAATCTCTTCCTTAGCTACCAAACCGACCACGTGCGTGTAACATTTTTGCACACGGCCACCTCCTCAGGCGCTTCCCATCTTTTTGGGGAACCTGGTTCCCTCGTGGCTTGCCGTCATCCTGTCGGTGACTCTCGTTCTCTTCTTCGGAGAGATCTTCCCTTCCGCCGTCTTCACGGGGAAGAACCAGCTCGCCATCGCTTCCGGCATGTCCTGGCTCGTGTACACCCTCATGATGGTGCTCGGGCCCGTGGCCTGGCCTATCGCGTGGATGCTGGTGAGCGATCGGGCGTGTGCGTGCCGCGTGCTTTTTGTCTTGTGCCTTGAGCCCCCGACTGTTGTTGTACAGTAGTGGTGTGCTGAATTTCGCCTGGCCTTCCGTTTTTTTTTTACGAGAGAGGTTGCATATTCTTGCGGCGTGCATGTAAAGCTAGTGAGGTGAAAGTGCGACGAGAAATAAGGGGGGGGAGGGGGGTCCCGAGGGAGCGACCGAGAAAATATTGCACAGCGAGACACGAGACACGGCACCGCTCGGTCTGAGTTTTTTTTTTTTTCGTGGTTGGTCCGGAACGCTCACCAACCACTGGCTGCTTCCGTGCCTGATAGTGACACACCAAAGGGTTGTATCTATGAATTGCTTTTTTTTCTTGCACTGTCAACAACGATACGAGTGGACAATTTCCAGGAAAGCGGCCTCGACTCTCGACGGCACATTGTCTCAACACGCGCGCAAACGCGACTGATAACCGGCGCTTCGTTTTGTTTTCCTCTCCTGTCCTGTCTCAACCGAGCCGAACCCGCGTTCTATGTTCGCTATTTCCTTGTTCTCGCTCTCGCTCTCGCTCTCGCTCTCGCTCTCCTCTCTCTCTCTCTTACGCTCTCTCTCTCCCTCTCTCGCTCACTCTCGCTACCTCTGTCTCTCTCTCTCTCTCTCCCTCCTTCTCTCTCCTCCCCCCCCCCCCC